TGGACCATCAGACCTCCCAGGCATTAACAGTCCTTCACTTTCATTAACCCCCAAAACCAACATTTTGAATTCTAATGCTCTGAATGCCTTCACATGATAAACCAAGATTCCAGGTGGTTGAAAAGCATTACCTTCTTTCTGTAAGTGAAGAAAAGGAATAGGGAAAGGTGAGGTGAGACCAGGAAGCAGTCTTATGCAGGTACTTAACAGTGAAGAATTCTCATGGAAATTGAGGAGCCATAGGAAAAGATTCTCTAAAAACTATCCTTCCACTTTTCTTTTTTCTGTTTTTCTTTCCCTCTTTTTAAAAAATATTTTTAGTTATTATTTTTATTTTATGTGTAATAGTGTATTGCTTGCATGTATGTAAATGCACCCATGTCATGCAATGCCCCTGGAAGACAGAAGAAGCCATTGAATCCCCTGGAACTAGAGTTACAGACTGTTGTTAGCTGCCATATGGGTGCTGGGATTCAAACCCTGGCCTTCTGCAAGAACAGCCAGTGTTCTTTACTACTGAGCCATTTCTCCAGCCCTCTTTCCTTTTTTGTATGTATGTTGTATATGTGTGGTGAATGTGTTTGGTGGATATGTTTGGGGGGCGTTGTTGCAGGAGTCTGTATACATGAATGCCAGGGGAGGGATGTCTGGTGTCCTGCTCTATTCTCTCTGCCTTTTTCTCTTGAGACAGGATCTCTCAGTGAGCCTGGAGCTAGACTGACAACCAGCAAGCCCCATTCCCCATAGCACTGGAGTTAACAGGTACACACAGCCATGCTGGCTTTTTACATGTGTTCTAAAATTTATTTGAACTCAGGTAGTTATGCTCAGCTGTTTCCCAGCTCTTGCTTACACTTTGATTGAACAGTATCTATGAAAGTTTACACACTTGTTTGAAGACCATTATATTAAGAATCTGGACACATTAAGAGAAATTCTTAACAATAACAAATTTATTTCAATTGTCTCAATTCCTTGAGTTCTCTCTAAATGTAGGTACAGAATAGGTTGGGACGACTATAAAAAGAGTTAAGGAGAGCTGGAAAGGTGACCCACTCACTGGTTAAGAGTGCATACTGCTCTTGCAGAGGACCAGAGTTCAGTTCTCAGTATCCATGTTGGGCTACTTACAACCACTTTTAATTCTAGCTCCAGGGGATCTGATACCCACTTCTGACCTCCACAGGAACTGCCCTTATGTATACACACACACACACACACACACACACACACACATACACATACACACACAATTATAAAATAAATTCTAAATCTTAAAAAAAAAATGGGACAGAGCTGGAGAGATGGCTCAGTGGTTAAGAGCACTGATTGCTCTTCCAGAGGACCCGGGTTTGATTTTCAGCACCCACATGGTGGCTAACAACCATCTGTAACTCCAGTTCCAGGGGAATTTGATGCCCTCTTCTGACTTCTGTGGGAAAACACATACACATAAAATAAAAATAATAAAAATAAATTCTTTAAAAAAAGATTTAAGGAGAAGGAGCCAAGAAAATTATTGTAACAAATAACACAAAGATGTAATTACTTCCCTCCCTCCCTCTTCCTTTCCCCCTCTTCTCTGGTATTAATATGAAAATAATTGCCTCTACTCTTGGAGACCTAGCTTAATTAGACTAATCTGACTTTCTGCGGGCAAAACTAACACTAAAATGATATTGCTTGGAGTTGTCTAATTATAGAGCAATCGCGCTTTTTCTTAACAGATACTAAAACCAAATGCTATAATGTTGGATGAGGTCATTGTGAATAACTTGTTGTAAAGCCTATTTTGAGGTACCGCATGAATTTCAGTGATTATGCAGTGAAAAGATGCAACAGATACAAAGTTATTGCAGAAAAAATTATGAATTGCTACTATAATGTATCTAAGTAGTGATAGAGTTCCACAAGTTTTTCATAAAAAGTATGTCCATGGACTCTAACTTCCCTTCTTCTACACAGCATTCCTCAATCACAACTCCTTTCTAGGTTTTCCTCCCTTAGAAACGCCCCCTTCTCATTTTCTCCGCTGCAGAGCCTGAACCCTATGATCCAGCTTTTGATGGACATTCTCACTTCTGCTTATTGGTTCTGCCGACTTAAGTCCCAGGCCAAAGTCAACCATCTATCTGTTCTCTGAACTGAAGCTTCTATTTTGCCGTCTATTGCTAGATAAAACATTAAAACTGCTGATACATAGTGTGATAGATCTTCAACTTCCAAACTCACCTTGACTCCTAGCACTACATGGAAATCCTTTAACTCTTGTCTGGTTGACTTTTCTTCCCACTGCTCAGGTGCAATTCCAAATCTGACACCATCACTCTTCCAGGGTTTTCACGCCAGGGTTACTTCCCCAGTCAGTAAGATGATCCTTCTTCCTACTTCAGGAAAAATTACTTCCAAGTTCCTCTTTCTTTCCAGTTCTAATGACTACCACCACAGCTTCACCCTCTGTTCTCCCTGTCCTAGAAGCACTACTGTACATTAACTACTCCCTGTCAATACATGGCTTTTGGTTTTGGGAGGTTGTTTTTGTTAAAAAGATTTTCACTACAACTTTTATGTACATTATTATAAGGCAAATCCTTAGAATTCATACTCTAGGTTAAAGAAATGCACATTAGAATGTTAGGAAATAAACACTGCTGATTGGCTGTAGAGAAGACCACATCAGAATAGCAAATGTTCACTCTCTTGGAATCATTCACAAGCAAGGGCAGAGAGGAAGGTGAGTTGCCTGCCCATTCAATGTTTTAATATTCTGTCATAGTTCTGCCAGCCAAATGTCACAACATGCAATTTAAAGAGACTGTGCTTTAGTGAACAATACCATTTTTGTCCTTTACTATTTTCTATCACCTGCCATACATGTAGTCTAAGATGCTGTTAATAATAAGTCCACCCAGAACCTCCTTTCAACTAGGAGGAGTTTACTCACTTCCATTCAATTGAAACTTTTGTGGATAGTCTTAGGGCAACCAATGTAAATTATTACTAATATGCTATGGCTTTTCTTATTTACATAATAATGTATCATATAAAACCTTGAAACGACACATGAAAGCTTTAGAAAAGTATTTGTAGAGGCAGGCTGAAAAAAAGCTTTGGAGCTAGGCATGGTGGTGCACAACTTCTATCCCAGCACTCAGGAGGCAAAGGCAGATGGAGCTCTATAAGATCGAGGCCAGCCTAGTCTACATAATGAGTTCCAGGCCAGCTGGGGCTATAGGAGAACCTGTAGCAAAAAGACAAATGAAACGAAATGAAAAGGAAAAGAAAAGAAAAGAAAAAGAAGCTTTGATGTGGAGGATAGAAAGAAACTTTGAGGTCAAGGATACTTAGGGGAGTATCCTATCCAACCTATCTAACCTAGGGCAGATCTAGATTTTGTGGGACTCTGATCATATATAACTTAGGAGGAATTATATATTTATTTCCAGAATGGGTCACAAGTTATGAATAAAGTAAAAGGTTCAGAGCCTTTAGAAGAAATCTTGAAAATGAAGGGCTCTGAAACATAGGCTTCATTAGTTTCACATAAATCAGCTTCTCTCTCTCTCTTTTTAAAGTATCTGGCCACATAGTTGAGACATTAAACAAGCCTACACCAAACAGAATCTCAATAAATGTGAATACCTGACATGAGCCGAGTACATTACATATTGCATTTCATGCTCACAGCAAGTTTATCAAGTCAATATTTCATTCTTACTTTTACAAAGGTGGAAACCTCATCAGGCACAGGGAATTTGGAAGCTTGTTCACAGACAGTCCACTTCTCATAGTTAAGCTGAGACCCAAACCAAGTTCTGACAAACCAAATCTTGTATTTTTTAATGACAGTACTCTGACTTGCCCTTCAGATTCTCATAAAGATAAAAGGTTGGAATTATTTTGGAGAACACTCCTAGAAGATGGCTTAAAATGCTCAGTCAATACTTGAAACTGTGGGTCTTAATTCACACCTGTGACATCCCTAAAACTACATTTAAAGGTCACATTAAAACATTCCTACCTTTGGACTATCTTCCACTTACTAAGTGACATAAGGGAAGGAAATCTTAGAGTCCAGATGACTTGTAGTTTTAGTAAACATAGGATAATAGAGGCAGAATTGGAATCTACTGAGGTGAGCCTATGAAGTCCAGCCTTCCGGAAAAGAATCTGGCTATGGAAAGACACCTGACTATGGATCTTTCACAAACCACATCCTCTTACTACAGGTCCAGTATTCTTTTACCTTGGCATTATATCATTGACTTTGCTTGTTTTACTTTGATTTGCTTTTAGTTTGGGTTGGTTTTGAAAGACACAGTCATGCTATCAAGGTTGTCTTGAAATTTCAATCCTCTGCCTCCCTAGTGGGATTACAGGTTTGAGGCACCACACCCAGATGACATATAGAGTTTTAAATATTGTAAAAAATGACAATGGACCATATATTACTGAATTACATTCATAATGTTTGACAGTTTAACCTCTATTCACTTTTAAATGTATTAGAAGGTCTTTTATTCTTTCTAAAACCCCTAGAAATAGGTGCTGTGTCTTTTTATCTTTTCCTCACTCACAGAATCCAGCACTTTGAATAGACAGGCGTTCCACAGAGGTTTGTTGCCATGGTGTTGATGAGTTATTTTTGATAGGTCACTATTTTCTTATGCAAGAGGAATTCCATAATGTCGACAAGCTATGATTCTATCCTATTCATTCAAAGATTTCAGAATAAAACCTTTGGGATTTGGCTAAAGTTAAGACAAGAATTAATCAGATGTAGTTAAGTATTTTCAGCTATCAAGCTGCCACTGGTGCTACTTAAAATATCTGCTGATTTTATGGTTTGGTTCTATTGTGACCTCAAACTGTAGCTAGAATCAGTCCACTGCAACAAGAGCTTCAGGAACAGTAGTGCAAAAATGATGTCTTAACTCGATGGGAAAAGAAGGCACATATTTTCAAGAAAGCCTCTTTATTGTTAGGACTTTCCCTTCAAGATGACAAGTGGTGAAGATCATTCAGGATCTTGCTTGTCCTCTAAAAGGTGAGTCTTTGATGGATGCCAAAAGGTAACTAACTACCCAGGAGGTGAAAAAGGGTCTCTATTTCCCTAAGCTAAAGGCAGATTATGGCATCTCTTTCCACAGAAATTATAAAACAGCAGACAGCTACTTGAAGGAATTAAATGAGGACTTAAAGTTAAGGAAGCAGAAACTTCCAGAGATGCTAAAACCTCTGGAAGATAAGAACAATCTCTTATTCCAGAAGTTAATGGCTAACTTGGAGGAAAAACAAAGAAGGTAAGGACTCCCTACTCAGGATCCTAGTCAGAAAGGCTGAAGACTGTAGTCTCCATAAAACGAGAAATTATTGTTTATACTGTTTTGTTTTCAGTTTTACTTTTTTCCCTTTTTAATTTGAACATTTGGTTCTAGTAGAACATAATTTATGACCACAAAATCAGGACAAATATGAATCCTTTATTTATTTAAAAAATATTTAATTGTTTTCATTTTATCTGTATGAGTGTATTGCCTGCACATGTTTAAGTGCACCTGTGTAGTGCAATGCCCACAGAGCTCAGAAGAGAGCATCAGATTCCCCTGGAATTGGAATTACAGATGGTTGTTAGCCACCATGTGGATGCTGAGAATCAAACACAGATCCTCTGAGCCATCTCTCCAGTCCTTATTTATTTATTCTAGTAAAAGTAAATAAGTATGATTTGGTCCTCAATATCATGAAACTACAGTTGTTACTATTCCTTCCTAGGGTGTCTATCCAAGGAATAGGTAAAAGTCTTTAATAGCACAGGTCACTTATTATTACACTGACCACTGATATTGGTAGAATTACTTTAGGACAAATTTCTGCTCTTTTTATACCAAACAGTAGAGTAGTGATCTTTTTCAAGCCTAGGAGTGCTGCTTCTGTAAACAAGCTAGGCAGCTGATCTCTTTTTT